CCCCCTCTTGCCGGGCTGATCCCTGGCTGGTCACAGCATGTCCCTCCTGGCTGCCTCTTCTGCTGCAGGCGAGCCAAACAGCTTGCTTCAGGAGCCATGGCTTCAGGGCTGCAGCTGTGCAGTCGTCTTCTGTAGGAAGTCGGTACCCTTCAGACCTCTTCTGTATCAGATTTGTTTGAAGTTGTCTAATGAGCTCATGAACTATTTGGGGAGGGCTCAGGGAAATGGACATCAGGATTATATAAGCCTTACTTTCTTAGGGAAATGGGATAACAGGACATTTGAACAGTGCTGTAGCCACCCTTGAAGTTGCAGTGCTTTTAAAAAATTATTAATTATTCACCACACCGCTGGTTTGAGAATGTTCAGAGTCAACTCTGCTGCATTTCAGTTTTCTAAAAAAAAAGGCAAAGAACGCCCCAAAATAAAAACCCTCAACAAAAAACACAGCAGTATCTCAATTAAACCACAACATCATGTGAACAATTTTATAAAACAAAGCTAAACTGAAAACACAGCCTAATCCTTTGAATTAAAGATAAAGCCAAAAAGCAGACAAGAAAACTAAGCTAAGATCAAGTGTTTCCAACTAAAAGATGGCTTGGCTTTGAGCATGGTAATTCTGTACTTGTCCTTCCTCATTGGGGCAAGAAGGGTCCTAGTTCTCTTGCTGATGTAGATGGCCTTAAGGGATGGGGGCAACCCTCAATACACCACAGAGGAACAAGAAGCATGTTAAACCTTTGAAAATACTGGTAGCATATTTGTTACTTATTTATAGAGTGGAACATGTGTGAAAGGTGACTTTTTTTTTAAACAGTTTATTCCTGTCTTTATGGAATTTCATTTGTCTGCAACATTTATAATGAAGTTTTCTTTTGTCGTGTTGGCACTACTTGGGTTTTGCTTTTTGTTTAATGAGGAATTCATAGTTTGAAAAAAAGCTGAGAAGTTGCATTTGCATGCTTAGACAACTACAGGCTGTTTCATTTCTTATAACTAAGAATATTTTTTTGTGTAACACCACATTCTTTATACCCATGATAATCCCAGTGATGATGTACTGACAGTCCCACTCTGTCTTGTTGCCACTTAGACAACTTCTGCAATTTTTGACTGAATGTCATCTCTCCCCAAATGACTTTGCTATGCTTGATTTTGCAATGTTCTCTGTAAAACATGCATTAGGCATGCATATTATAATGCGTGTCTAATACATATGTCTAATAAAAATATTCTACATGACCAGTGACTAGATAATTGCATGTAAGTCTTAAGATACTGCTGCATATTAGGTTAGGGCTAGGACGTTCTGTACAGGTAATGATTTGGAAGGGTTATTGCCACTTTTGCACTCTGAACAGTCTATACATAAATCTTTCCTTGCAACCGTAGACAGATTTAAAAACCACTGCCTTTACAACAAAGGGTTCAGGTGGTAGCAACAGCAAGTGTTTGGTGATGGGATAAGGAACCACAACTCCAAAATGGCACAGCTAAGGTGCAGACCACACGACCAGCTCTCTCTGTTGCCACATAAGGGGCAGTAGCTCAGGGAGAAAGGTGGGATGCACAGCTGGAAGCAGTAACAGTTTAAACTGGACGAATCGGTCATTCTGCAAGATTTTCCCACCCAGACTGGACATTAATTTGCAGTAGTACACCCTGAGAAGCTGCACCATAGCCGTGTTTTCCCTGTCTTTTGTCGGTCATTTAGGCCTGCCTGTGTGTTTGCCAAGCCAAACCCACTCATGAATGACAATGTTGTTTAGAGTCATAGGAAACCACAAGCTGGGGGTGATCTCAGGAGGTCTCACCAGCTCCCAATGCCATTAATGTTTTTTGTTAAAGGCTTCAATAGTATTAATTTATGACAAATGCCATTTCTAATATTCTAATATTTAAACTGGGATGTATCATTTGTACTGCATTTGCGGATTTTTTTGGCATGGGTATATTAAGGCTGATGAAATAGATGTCTGATGTTAACGGTTTAAAGTTCAGTTTTCTCTTTTGGTTATTTGCAATATCTTCGCGGCAAAATGCTTTCAAGGCTAACAGTAATATAATTTCTTGTAGCGTACAGGTACATGCTCAACTCATATCAACAATGTAATCTGCATATCTGCAGTGTTTTATTCTCTGCATTCCTATAGAATTTGGTTATTTTAAACCTGAAAGCTTAAATAAACTAACATGAAATATGAGACATGTTTCACTAACATGGCATTACGAGACTGTAATTTTCAATTTAAAATATTTCTTTATAGGCTAATGGATACAGCTTCATCAATATTGATCATGGACAAGCAGTATCTTTGCTAAAGACTTTTCAGAATGCAGTGGAACTCATCATTGTTCGAGAAGTTTCTTCATAAATACTGTGGATTGGGGGAAAAGCCAGCAGGATTCATTGAAGGACTTAAGGGAAACTGAATATTTTGCCTATTTTTATACATGAGAGGAACTTGAAAAGAATTATGATCAAAATTTGTACAGGAGATACTGAATTTGTGGTTAAAGGGGAATAAACCACTGTACAGAACGTACAGGAAATCATTTTGGAAATGCATATGGGGAATAAACTTGTTTTTAAGCATTATAGCAATCTAAGGATCACTTCTCCAAGAACAAACCTGTGTTGTTTTTTTTGTACAGATGGTAGGTTTATTTTTGGATAATTATACACATTACTAAACTTTGCGCAAGGCTTTGTGAAGCCTCAGTTGTAGCCAATGGACAGATGGCAGGGCTGTCTGTCCTGTAGCTGTTTATTGCCTTTATTTTTATTCACCAGATATTAATGTGTTATGCTGAAACCACTTCTGTAGATATGGACAGGAGATATGAAACATTGGCTTTGCTATGTGCACATTGTATAGATGAATGGGTAGATGGAACGTGGTGCTGGTTGGACAGAATAAAGGTCAGGTGAAACAACTGTCTGCTATCTAAATCTGGAATCAGGAAAGAAGAAAAAGTATTTTGTTCTGGAGTGTACGTCTACCGATAGAAAATGCAATAAAAGCTTACAGTGTTTTTTAGGAAGACTGTAACTACCAATTTGTGATATTCTACAGGATTTGTTCTTAATGTAGTCATTGAATATTCATCTGCCACATGTGATTCATGTTTAGTTGGGTTTTCTTGCATACATAATTTTCTCAACTGTACTGTGGAAATGTGCCCAGAGGTTTCTCCCTGCCATGGAAGTCCCCAATTTTATGCGAATGGTGATACTTTTATCTTTATAAAAATTACTCTGTTTTAACCTTACAGATTTTAAAAATGAAACTGAAATGGCCAGTTTTTAAGGTTGTTGCCTGTAACATATTTAAACACACATACACAAAGTAAATGATGCAGGAAGGGTTATGAAAGACATCTTGATTTTGTTCAGCCTTTGCATTGCCTTGTTAGTCAAAAAGGAAACCACACGCATGGAGCTAGGTAACCAAAGCAAGTTTGTGAAAATTTGAACAGTGATGGAAAATTGCTGTGGTGAGATGGATAGCAAGGGGAGGGTGTACTTACAACCCACCAGTTTGTAACGATGTTTCTTAAAGGGCTGTTCTTACAGGTGACATTAAATGTGAACTAGACACTTCAGAGTCATTAAAGGGTTTCTAACTATATTAATGTAATAGTGATTTACCACAGGCTGCCTTTGTTCCTTATTACTGTGTAAAATGCTCAATTATGCTTCTATTAATTTTGTTTACCAGAAACATTAACTTTATTTTTCTTTCTCCTTTGTAATTGAATAGAGACTGCATAATCTGCAGTGATAATTAATACACGGTTGTTATGGACCAGGGAAAAGTGCCATAGAAGACCAATAACTGTTTTTAATCAGGGCTAATGATTAGCCTGTCATCAGAGCAATATTCAGTTATTGCAGTTCATTTTTAATTACATACAAGTTGGTAGTTTGAGACAGGTATAAGTTGCTTTTTTCAACCCATGTGTACAAAAGTAAATGCTTTTAACAAAGCTAGCAAAAACACCAGCGTCCTTTAGTTTTGGGACAATGAGCTGGAAGAGAGGGGAATTATATATAGCTAGCAGTATAAAAAGGCAGTACTTTTAAAATAAGTGAACTCCAATATTATTGCACTTCTTTCAAAGATGTTAACTATTGCTTATTGTACTGTGTATAGTTCTAATAATTTTAATTGAAACCCTTTAACAGCTCTTTGTATATTTTAATTCTTTTTAGTTTATTTCCAGTAATATTTACATAGAAAATGATTTTTTTGATATATTAGCAGAAATGTGCTGTATTTTGATAAAATTCACTTATTTTCTGTGTGCTGTTAATCTTCAAAGAAAAGAATGAGAAACATAGCTATATAATGGCAGGCTTCAGTGTTCCCCTTCTAAGATGTGTTTTGTTGTTGTTTAGTTTCTATTTTTTTATTGAAAATGCGAAATGTTCACATCACGTGTCCATTACTTTTAATCATGTTGTTTTTATCACACACTGCCTTTTAAAGGGAATGCATACAGACAAGGCCTAAATTACCTTGGTCTTCTACATAACCTGTATCTTTGGGAAGGGAAAAGTCCAAAAAGCAGAACTGATTCTTTACTGATCTTGGACTGACTTTGTATACATTTTGCAGTACATTTAAGTATATCACAGAGGAATTATACTGGATCGTATTTTGCTTTAATAGTTACAGAAGTTTTAAATGTTGTTGTGTCACTTAATTTTCAGATTTATATATCACAGGAAAATTCTACCAATACCTGTTTGGCTATGGTAGAACTATAGAAGGTAGAGATTTATAGCAAGAAGTTTAGTGCTTCTTGTGGAAATACTTGGCCAAAGCTTGTTTTCAGTAAATTAGCAAATTAACCGTTTAATAAAACATGGATTATGCTGATTTTACTCAGTAAATGTTGGCTTTTTCAGTGGATTGAAATGTGTTTGTTCCTTCAGTGTCTCTGTGTAAAGGTAAACACATGTCAAACCAGACAATTTTGCAGAGAGAAGGAGAAAGATGTCTCCTGAACCAGTCCAGCCAGTATGTGGCAGTTTAGAAGCAGGAGGAGAGACAATGTTGGCACTTTTCATTTTGAACACATCTTAAACTACATTTTGAATAGAATAAAATCCATCAGCAGCCGAAGTTACTCCGCATGGCAATGAGTTGATGCAAACGGTTCTTTCTATTCTTAATAGTTCATTAAAGAATCAGTTCAACTGATGTAATGAAAAGATGAAATCTCCCACATATTTATTATGTAAATATTTTTTAGTTTCTTTTTTTGGACTGGAGTTAAAAAAATGTGTATATACTTGAAAGCATTCTATGAACACAAACATAGCAATAAACAACACACAGAATCAAACCTTTGTGATTATTTTGGTTTTGTTTAGAAATATTCCCTTGTCAACAGCTAAGAAATGTTTTTATTGATCAGCATTTATTCAACATTCCAAATTTTTGTATATAATTAGACTGTTTCTGAGGTAACACATGCAGAATAGATAATAAACTAATGCTCTTTAAAGCTGTGTGTAATTGACTTATTTAAGTTCTAGGAAATTCTCCATAACACCATTTTATTCTTTTATAGTTTCTGTAGACCTTAGTACTCTATCAATATACATTAGTAAAGACTTACTTGTGTTTCTGGCTCTGTGCATTGCAGTGCCCTGTGGTCTGCTCTGGCTGATTCCATTGCAAGACTGGGTTATTCAGAATAAAGACATACTTTTGTGGATAACTCAGTCTTGCAATGAATCAGCTAGGGGAGCCAGTGGCTTCTCTTCTAAAGACATGAGTGGTATTTGTCTCAAACGAAGTAGTTACAATAGCAGAGCAGGGTGACTACGTCAAGGAGCAGGGTTAAAAGTGAGCGTGTCTTGAGAGTGCTGTGGTGAGAGGTACAAGGGTTATGTGGTAAAGAAAGTGAAGAGCTAGGCACAGAATTTCACAGGACAGTTAAATGCAGGTATACGTCCAGTTTCTTGGAAACCACCTGACAACGTAGTAACACAAACTCTGCAGTCTTTTTTCCTGCTACCTGTCCTAATATACGGTTCTGGCATATCAATATCACTTATTACTTGACTTCCTACTTCCTCTACACAGAAAACTGATGATAAATATAACAGGTTACAGCCCTGATGACGCTGGAGTATTCGGTCTCTCCTTATTTAAGGTTTTCTGTGTCTGTTCCCTACCTGGACTTTGCAATTTTTCCCCCTTAATTTTTCCCTTGTGAGCTCTCTTTTTGAAGACCTTTTTGTTGCCTTTTTTGCCTTTTACGTATCAGACTTCAAATTTATTCTTTCCAGTTTCACAGGTATTATTTGTTAGCTAAGCCTCATTCCTGTGCACCTGAGCCTTTGGTCTCCTACTCTATTTCACAACTCAACAGTTTACTTTTTCAACAAGCACCTCAGAATGCTGGTCCAACTTGTGCTTTTCTGAGTGGAGGCACTTTCTGAGAGAGAAAGTGTATTTTTGGTCTGTTATTTTTATTGCCTTGGATTAAATTCAATTTTGTAATGTGTCCAGAAGATTCTGTTGCAGCATCTATGAGACTACGTTGAAACTGGGGTTCCACAACACCAAACATTACAACTGCACTACAAAATTTCCCCTGTCTAAATGAGGTGTTGTTACACGAAAAACTGAAGTAGCCTAAGTAAGAGAAGTGAAATTTTCTATTTAAGATCATACACTAATCAACTGAAGTCAGCAGAACAAACCTCAGACTTAATGATTGTCAGTTCAATGCCTTGCTTAGGCAATATGCTACCTACGGTCCTGCAGCATTGACAAATTGTTGCCTGAAGCATATAAAATATGGCAAGAAATTGATTATTTGCTATAGTATCTGAATCCATCTTGGCCAGTTTTATGTGATTCTGTGATTTCTCACAGTCTATGTAATTGCAGCCATATTTTGCATGAACAAGGACACTATTTCAAAAAGTTTTCACTCTGTCATGTATGAGAAAACAAAACAGTAAGATCAAACAACAGAAGAAATATTCTCAAAATCTTCCTTTATTCAATTGTTGCTGCTCAGTTGAGTATAGCTGATTTTAGGAAACCTTTTTCAAGTTACAGTATCAAATAGTTTCTGCTCTTCTGCCATCAAGAATTATCTTTCCAAGAGGCCCACCTGAATAAGTAAATGTAAAAAGCTTTTGAGTGCCTCAGAGTAGATCACTTGTTCTGAATGGTCTTACATAGAAAATTAAAGAAGTATTAGAGCGCTCTGTATGGTTGTCATTTAAAAACATGAAACTGCATCTGCCCTCTGAAAACAAATGTCGGAACACTTGTTCAGACCACAACAAGTATACTTTATAAAATAAAACTTTCCTCTTATTAAGGAAACTAGAAGTATTTTAGAAGATTGTCGGTTTGTGTCAGAGGCTTCCTCATGAACAGCTGATACTGCATCTAAAAAAATCATTAGTTACAGGTTTTGATTCTTTGGAAAACTGTGAGTCTAAGAATCTATCCTGTAAGATTAAAAAACAAAGACAAAGCATGATGGCAATAACTGATTTAATTTAGCTCAATGTAAATAACTTCCCTCTTTATTCCTTTATTGCTCTTTAAGTTTGGACCTAGGGTTCCTTGTTCCTTGAATACTTTTTCTGCAAGAATTGCTCTACCTGTGACAGGAGTGTATCAAACAACATTGGCCCCAAGTGCCTCTGCGCTATTATTTCTGGGTTTTTCAGGGGCTTTTTGGTGTTTTTTTTCACTCTTCCCAAGAGGATAAAGCTCTAAGTTTCTCAACTGCCTTCAATCCAAGAGAAAAAAACCAACTCTTCCTTTGAACTATCGGCTAATGCCAAATGGGTGTCAATTTCTGTCTTTGAACTTGGATTTGAAAGTAAACATCTTAAAAGAAAACTTTACCTTATGTCATGGCAGGTGATTTTGGCAAAGCTGGGTTTGTCTTTACTTACTCCACAGAATTGTACTTTAAGTGACATCTTGTATATTCTCACTCCATTTGAGAAATTTTAAAGAG